TGATAAACTGAGCAGATATTTGAGGTTTACACAGCTACATTCTCGCCTGAAAATATGTTAAACGTTTATTTTGTGACCCAGAAAGAATAATAAGAGTAATATTAAAACTAAGTAGCTGCCACCATTGTTGTAAATTGAGCTGGGCTGCTCTATGAATTCTGGGACAGAGCCACTTCTTCTTCTTCTTCGGGGTTTAACAGCAGCTGTCATCCTTGTACATGCAGTGCTGCCATCTTCTGTTTCAGTGCGTTATTACACTCTTAAATCCCGCTACTTATTCCTGCGTCTTTTGGGATCTTACAAAGCTTAAAACGACGCGTCGACTATTAAATCAGTCGTCGACGATTTTGATAGTCGACGTAATCGTGACTAGTCGACTAATCGTGGCAGCCCTAGTGGCATTTATAATAGACCTGTTGCCGCTGATTTTCTGTCCAGTTTTTGGTTAATTTGGCATACCCCAGCTTTTTCTCAGTTTCCTTCACTTAAAAAACGGTTCTTGACACCCACACTTCAACTGAGACCATTTTTGATGAGTCCTTGGTGAACAGTAGATGGGTGAACTGGAAGCCTAGATGCCTCTCTCCAGTCCTTTTTCAAATAATTGCTGGATTTTTTCCCCCCCCCTATTTTATAAGGACGTGACTTTCAGATACTGTTCATCTGCTGTACACTTTTTTTCCTAAGGTCTCACGCATGTCTTGGTCCCTCCAGTGATGCATAGAACATACTATACTACAACCTGGTATATACCAGGTTGTAGTATAGTATTTTTACAATAATAGCATTTTAGGACTTGCCTTGTTATCTTTGGCATTTCTTTTCATAGATTCAGTTAAAGAAATAAAGAAATACAATTGTTCAACGGGTAACAAAGTCCCTAAAGATACAACTTCAAATCGGTTCTTTGCTAACTGCTATCTGTTATGTATGGACACAACACTGGTTCATCTCTCTTTAGTTAGGTGCTTTTTTTTTCCTTTCTTTTTTTCTTTTTATCTTTTAAATGGTTGGTTCATAGGTTTAATGTTAAGTTGCTCAAGCAAAAAATTTACCCTGAAAATGGGCAAGTAGAAGGACTGGGCTGAAACTAAGCAGAGTGGACAATGTTCAAAGAAAACCTGTGAAAAACCTTCACAAAGCCTGGAGAACTACTGCTGAATACTTAAAACCCTACATGAAAATCTGGCTGTTTGAAAGCAAAGCATTACTGTAGTAATGCTCTGAGTTTTATTTGCGGCACAATGTATTAGTAAAGGGGTGGTAATGTGCTACTATAGGATTGTGTTGAAATACGTGGTTGTTCTGTTGTCAAAGCCCTTTGAGGTAACTGTTGTTGTGATTTGGGTGCAATATAAATAGAATTTATATGGCATTAAAACATATACACATTGTGGTTACACATATGTAAGTACACATATATACTGAAATATGGGCAAAAGAAGATTCAATAGAGATTCATTAATTTTCAGTGCACTGCTGGTGCCATCTGTATTGCCTTTTAATTTTTGAAGGCATGTTAACTTGTGACATTTGTTGTAGCCTGGCTCAGTCCCCACCCAAAAGCTACCAGCCAGGCAGGTTTGGTAGAAAGTCTCACTTGAAACGTCCAGATGGCAGAAACAGCAGGTGTATTCCACGCAGTGACAAAATCCACACCCCACCAAAGCAGCGCCAGCAGAGTCCAAGAGCTAACAGTCCATCATCACGAGGCTCCTCTCCAAGCCCAAGATCTCGTTGCAGGTTCAACCTTTCTCGCCACAGCTCAGCTTCAGACCTTGGAAGCCCAGATGTGATTATTGAGGACTTTTTAGATGAGGGACAAGGTGTGTTGCTTTGTTGTTAGTACATTCTTTACATTGATTTTCTTAAATGATGTTTGAGCCAAATAGAATCTTAAAATAGAGGCAAAAGAGAAGCTTTAATCTATTTTGAAATGTTTCCTGTAGCCCTCCCGCCAACTGGGCCTGAACTGGCCAGTGACAAACTAAGAATTAACAGGAGAAGAAAACATCAGTTCTCTGCTACTAAGAGAAGTGGTAAGGAATTGTTATATAGTGTTATATCGTTATAAAGATAAAGTCAATATAAGTAAATCAATAAGCATAATGTTAACCAGCAAAAACCACATCATTTAAAATTAACTGGTACATGCTCTAAATAAGACAAACCATTTGTTGTCTGTTTTTAGCAGTCACACAGTGGGTGGTGGTAACCCACATTGTGAATCCAAGTCAGTTCTATGTCCAGTCTGTGGCTGAGAGGAGAGAAAGTGAGATCCTTTCAGACAAAATCAACCAACTCTGCAGTGGAGATGGTTGCAGCTTCACTGTAAAGGACACAGTGGAAACAGGTTTGTGTATGTGTGTGTGCATTTTGTTTGTGTGAAAATTTTACATTTCAGTTTAAACATATTCCGCATTTGAGCTGTGCTATATTATAGTGTTTGTAATATTCTATTCAATTCAATTTTATTTATATAGCGCCAAATCACAACACAAGTCTCCTCAAGGCGCTTCATAGATACAGAGAAAAACCCAACAATCATATGACCCCCTATGAGCAAGCACTTTGGCGACAGTGGGAAGGAAAAACTCCCTTTTAACAGGAAGAAACCTCCGGCAGAACCAGGCTCAGGGAGGGGCGGCCATCTGCTGCGACCGGTTGGGGTGAGAGAGACAGAGGTTAATAACAGATATGATTCAATGCAGAGAGGTCTGTTAATACATAGTGAGTGAGAAAGGTGACTGGAAAGGAAAAACTCAATGCATCATGGGAATCCCCCGGCAGCCTATGTCTATTGCAGCATAACTAAGGGAGGATTCAGGGTCACCTGGTCCAGCCCTAACTATATGCTCTAGCAAAAAGGAAAGTTTTAAGCCTAATCTTAAAAGTAGAGATAGTGTCTGTCTCCCGAATCCAAACTGGAAGCTGGTTCCACAGAAGAGGGGCCTGAAAACTGAAGGCTCTCCCTCCCATTTTACTTTTAAATACTCTAGGAACAACAAGTAGGCCTGCAGAGCGAGAGCGAAGTGCTCTAATAGGGTGATATGGTACTACAAGGTCATTAAGATAAGATGGGGCCTGATTATTTAAGACCTTGTATGTGAGGAGCAGGATTTTGAATTCAATTCTGGATTTAACAGGAAGCCAATGAAGGGAAGCCAAAACAGGAGAAATATGCTCTCTCTTTCTAGTCCCTGTCAGGACTCTTGCTGCAGCATTTTGGATTAGCTGAAGGCTTTTCAGTGAGTTTTTTGGGCATCCTGATAATAATGAATTACAGTCGTCCAGCCTGGAAGTAATAAATGCATGAACTAGTTTTTCAGCGTCACTCTGAGACAGGATATTTCTAACTCTAGAGATGTTGCGCAAATGGAAGAAAGCAGTCTTACATATTTGTTTAATATGTGCATTGAAGGACATGTCCTGGTCAAAAATAACTCCAAGGTTCCTCACAGCGTTACTGGAGGCCAAGGTAATGCCATCCAGAGTAAGATTCTGGTTAGATACCATATATCTAGGCTTTTCAGGGCCGAGTACAATAACCTCAGTTTTATCTGAATTAAGAAGCAGAAAGTTAGCGGCCTTCCAGGTCTTTATGTCTTTAAGACATTCCTGCAGTTTAACTAATTGGTGTGTGTTATCTGGCTTCATGGACAGATAGAGCTGGGTGTCATCTGCATAGCAGTGTAAATGCATGCTATGTCTTCTAATGATACTGCCTAAGGGAAGCATGTATAATGTAAACAGAATTGGTCCTAGCACTGAACCCTGTGGAACTCCATAATTAACCTCAGTGTGTGAAGAGGACTCTCCATTTACATGAACAAATTGGAGTCTATTAGATAGATATGATACAAACCACTGCAGTGCAGTACCTGTAATACCTACAGCATGTTCTAATCGCTCTAATAGGATATTATGGTCGACAGTATCGAAGTATAAATTTTTTACACGATATAAGAATGCCATATTGTTTTTCTATCACAATGCCATTTTACGTGCCTTAGTGCAAACAACAACAATATAAGCTCAGACAGTAGTGTGGAGCTTATATAGGAGAGAGCAGCGTGTCAGGATTTATGAAGTGAATGGTTCATGAGAATACTTTTTAATCAAAGCTAGATAATGTAAATTGTTCCGTAAACTGTTAATGAGTTAAGGTAACAAAGTGGCATTGAATTTAATTGTGCTCCCTTGGAAAATGTTTGTACTGTAAGAATAAAAATGACTTGACAGTTAATGCAAAGGGGATATTCAATAATTTAGGAATTTTGTAATTTGTGAACTAATTACTATTGGTTTGATATTGGGTGGAGAAAAATACATTGCAAATCATTTTATTATACTTCGGTGGTAAAAGACTAATGTCGTCACCCTGCCAAGAGAGTGAACAGCTGGGAGAAAATTTGAGAACGAGGCAACATTGGATTTTCAAATTGGTACCATTAGTGCATCTATTAAAAATCTTGGATGAGTTCAAATCTCAGTTAGTTCGACCTCAAGGTCGGAGGTCATCTGCATGTGATAACTCACAGAAGTCACCTAGGATTTTCAAATTTATGCCATCAATGCACCTACTAGTAGGCAGAGGGGTTGCACTGGCAGTTTTCAATATATATATATATTTTTTTATCTTGCTTCCTTGTTCCCTTTTTGATTATGCTTGAGTTTTCCATATACTGAGAATTAGGGCTGGGCCATATCATACCGTTCACGGTAATACCGGTGTAATGTTGGGCAACGATAGGAAAATGAAATATCGCGATAGAATATGAGTAAAACGCACATGCGCATTGCCTTTGTTTACATACACACATGGCGGCGATGCAGAATGAGAAGAGCGAAAACGGATCGTTAAATGAAACGGATGAACCAGAATTGGTTTGTAAAAATGCTGCAACTTCAGTGGTGTGGAACTGGTTTAGCTTTCGTCCCTCAGATACACAACAAAGCACTATTTTTGGTAGAGCATGCTAGCGGGCCGTCGTTATTACAGTGTTTTTTGGAAAATACGGCACACTTAAAATCAATCCTTTGATTTTTCTGAAAATCGACAGTGTCCTTTATAATCTCGTGTGCCTTATGTATGAATTTTGGTTGTGTTTACCGACCTGGAAACAATTTTATGTACTACACGGCACTTGAAAATCTGTCAAATGTTTCAGTACGACTTTGCTAAGCTACGAAGCCGGACCGCTTGATGGATTGTCAGAGCATTACGGCTACCGTAGGCAGGAGCCTCGCGGAGTGATACGTACTTCGCTTCAACATAATATTACCGTATTGTGTGTGTGTGTGTATAACCCCTTTTTAAGTTTTGTGGATATTATACATGGTTATGCTGAGGATATGTCGGCCAATTTCCACTGGAAATGCCTTTTGGTTAAACTGTCGGCAAGGAATTTGCATTTGTTAATTTTTTTATATAACTTTAGTGCACTTAAAAAAGCTGCTTGTTTAAGTGAAAATACATTGATGTTTGGTTTTTTTTGGTTTTTTTTGGACTAATAAAGTTGTGGAGTTGTAAAGTATTTTGTCTAGTGTCAATTATATCATCAGTTATATCGTTATCGCAAATTTTCAAATGTATATCGTGATAAATATTTTTGGTCATATCGCCGTGCTCTACTGAGAATGCATCAAGCCATACTTTTAATTCAGAATGGCCATAGACATCGTCATGTTTGTTTGTTTTCTTTGATTTACGGTTTCTCTGCAGAATCCTTGATCTGTGTAAAGTGGAACGAGGGCCACTGGTGTCGGGCTAGAGTGGTCGAAGTCTTGCAGAAAGGCTCTTTAGAGCCTGTGAAAACCTGTGCAGTCACCCAGCTGGCTAGTATCCGAGTTTTCTTCCTTGATCATGGACTCACAAAAAGCATCACCATAAATAGGTACACACACACGCACTGCAGTAAACGTAGAACCCAAATTCCCCCAAGAAATTGGGACATTGTAGAAGATTATTTTGACTCTGTGTGGTGTTCATTTCTTTTTCATCAGAGAAGTGGCACATAAGTATACTATGTTTGAAGTTTTCTGTTCTTAGCTTTAGTTAATTCTGTATTGTTTGGATGAATTTACCAGCGAAGACGGGGCTACTGAGGCTTCACTGAGTGCTGTGAACAACCAGCTGAGAAAAGTGGGTAGAGCCGTAAAAAATGACTTGGCTCGCTTTGCCCCAATGGTCATCAGATGTTCACTCAAGGACCTGGTGCCTTATGATGTGGTAAGACTGCGGAAATTTATAGACTGATATAGAATTTGTATTTTGAAGAATACTTTCTTGGAAGGTCGATATAGTAAAAGCTCCTTTTTCTTAAGTTTCACGTGCCAGTATTTCAGAAAGTACAAGAAAGAACCTAAATATGCTTTTTATGAGATATTTCTAATGATGGAAAACAGTGAGTTTTTATTATCATTATTAT